AGTCTTTTAAGATGGAGAGAGCAGCTTTGCACATGGAAAAAACACAGGAATTAAATAATGAAAGTCTCTTAAACCTCTTCCCTCTCTGAGTCACTGCATTAGGAACAGAAGCATAACCAAAGTCTTTTTTTGTCACATGCATTAACAAAGAGCAGCACGTGAGTGTATGACAATAAAGAACAAGAACGTTTAACAAGAAGTGCAGTAAATATCATACAAACATACATTTAGGACTAACGTTACAAAGAGGAAAAACACAAGATAAATGAGAGTAGTGAGGGTATTATATAACATACATTTGGAGGCGTAACTGCTTTTCCATTGAAAGTTTTAGCAATTAACAGTTTATTTCCCTAGCTGTCCAGTTGGCGGCGGTAATGCGCCTGTATGCTAACTGTGCACCCGCCAACAAGGAAGAAGAAGAAGAAGAAGAAGAAGAAGAAGACAGCAACAGAGCTTGGTAGATGCTTTGAACTTTTCTGCGCGAAAGATGAGCAAGGATCTACACCTTCAAGTAAGCTAAAACATGAATAAACGACAACTGTTATGAACTATTTGCAATCATATTAAATCACATAATTTGTGAGCGCTGTGTTATTTAATTTTACAGCCATGTAGTAGACTAATTACCTCAGAGTAGTCTTACTGTTAGCTAATTGTCTAGCTAGCATTATCTCGTATGTAGCAAACTAACTAGTGCTAACGTTAATCATAATAACATCTGTTAACTTTGTGTTAAAGCAGAAATTTTACTCCAAACTGAAAAGTCATTTTTGGAGATCCGGAGAGATAACTTTACCCTTTAGAGGTATCAAAGTGAAATACTTTTTACGGCTAACGTTAAGCATTTAAAGTTAGCACGGCTAACCGAGCTAACAAATGGCCATTTAAAAATTAAATCCGTGCATTAGTTTGTTTGCGCTGACTGTGTTAATTAGTAATGTTTAAAATAGTAGCTAGCTCATATTGTTCTTTTGCAGACATTTACATCATCCCAAATTAATATCATGATATGTCAGTGTATTTCTGCGATAACGATATTCTTGACTATATGACAAATTAGTAAAAAAAAAAAAAAAAGTATTATTAATTTAAGAACATACACTTGCAACAAAATAATTGATATAGTTTTATATGTCAGCCTAATAGAATGTCTTCTAATATTTAGTAAGAATTAAACAACAGTAACTCAGAGTGATATTCAGATTCTGTATACAATATTAATAGGTTAAAAAAAAAACACCTCAAATTACACATTTAAACAGCTCCCAAATACTAAATATGTACCCTGGGATCTATATATATAAATCAACAGGTGGTTTCTTTCTTTTAGTAAAATCCTACATGATTGAGTTGGTTGTTTTTTCCACCTGGACCTTTATGCTCTGCCATTTCTCCTCTAATCATCACGCTGTAACCTGTGACAGGCTGTTATGCTGCTATGTCATGTTAGTTGATCTTGAAGAAGGCCCAAAGGCTGAAACGTCATCAAAATAGAAAAAAGAAAATGCATATGGAGCCAGAGTGTGCAACACTTGTTTTCTACAATTAAGTCTATTGCCAGTAATCAGCACCCCAATATAATTCTTGGTGTGCGTTACTTTTATATTTAAAAAACTGTTGCACCTTCACATATGTAGTTTTTTTCATGTAGGTTTACATCACCAAAGGTTTATGACAAAATCACCTGAGACACCGACTCCTATGTGTGCGCGATGAGAGAGGAGAGGGGGAGATGCTGTGTTGTTGCCGGGGGAGCTGCTTTGAGCAGTAACTCGCTGAAAGAGTCTGAGAAGTCCGGGGCTGTTCATGAAACACTCAGGACTCCACAGTTTATTCCACACTACTGAAGCTGCTCCTCTTTTTGAAACCACCGCAGAGTCAGTAATACATTCACTTTCAGCCATGCTGGTTGTTGCCGTGGGTAACAGTATGACGTCAATATGCCAACAAGTCTAACTATCATGAGTATCACGATATGAGTTTTTCATATCATATCAAAAATATACTTATATTATCGTGAACTAGATGATATGGCACACTCCTAGTTTCCAGTTTAAATCACTTGCATTTTAACTGTGCTGTATTTCACTCCTAAGAAAAGCAGACATGACTCTTATTCGTCATTCCTCATAAGTAGTTAATGGACAGTGGATGCCTCTGAGGCGGTTTTGTTTCTAATGACTTACTTATCTGTTCCAGGTTCATGTGTCTATCCAGAAAGGATGCTCCCTGCCAGCTCTGCAACGATGCAACAATTGCTGCTTTCCTGCCAAATATCATTGTCCGTTTTGTTTACCATCCTTTTTCAAACCCACCAAACCCTCCAGAGCTAGGATTCATCTGACCAAGCATCTGAAGAGAGCCATTACTGTTGGAGGTAAAGTTTTTCTATTTTCTATTTCAGCAAAATGATTCATCGCCTGTTCATTCATAATTAGATATGTTATTCATATTTCAGAGTACACAATCCACAAATGTGCACTGGGGTGCAGAAACCAGCCACATTACCACTGTTTGTACTGCACAGCCACGCTGATAAGGACAAGTGATTTCACTCGTCATCTATCATCCTGCGGAAAGGGGAGAACTGAAAAATTACCTCAACTAGTACAGACGGCCACGACACAAAGAGTCGAAACTGAAGGAATGATTGCCCCATCGCTGACCTCTGGACGGGATGACATCCCTTCATTTGTCATAGTAAGGCTGTTATCATGTATAATGCACTGTTAACACCTTTAGTGATTTGTGTTGTCTTGTGGTAAAAGTTTCAAAGTAAAATGTTTCAATGCTTCAATTCAGTGGTGTTTAAATGTCAATATAACATATTCAGTGGCTACTAAAATTACATTACTTATGTATCTTATTTGCCTATAAAACATAATCTTTGAATGTTAGTGTGGATGGACGAAATCTAGGAAAATATCTGTAACCACATTTAGTCAATATTTGAAGTGTTATCAGTCACAAACTGCATTATCTTTGAACAGGAGAGCAATGATGACAGTAGCGATGGCAGCGACAACGACAGTGAAGACATAGCCATCATCTTGGATTCAGATGACCCAAACAGCCAAGGAGCGAGCAGCAGCAGCAAGTTAGCGACTCCCATCGTCGACTCCTCTAAATGTGACCGAACTGTACAGACAAACATTGAAAAACCACAGGACTGTGATGAGTACTACTTCATGAGCCTTGTGAAACTGTTTAAAAAGTTGTCTCCTCAGAAAAAGTCAGAGGTCAGGATGAAAATTGAGAGGCTCCTCTTTGAAGCTGAGTTTGAGTAGGAAAAGGTTTACACACTCACACTCACACTGTTACTGCTTATTACATGTTTTATTCAAAGAATTGTAAGGAGCAGAGTTTTGGTATCTTTACTTTAATATGCCTTTTTTAGGGGGGGACAAACCATGGAATATTTTTGATGATATCTTTGTACTAGCCCTCTACATCTTAGGGAACATGGTGACTACTCACTCAGTTGAGACAATCCGTTGCCTTCTGGGACCTGTTTCACCAAATTTGCAGCATGCAAGAGGTGATTTGCAACATGACTGAATATTTTATTATTAAAAAAAAAAAAAAGTCACACATATGACCCATACTTTGGCATGCAAAACCTCAAGAGGACTAGCAAATTCACCTGGAGTCTGTTAACAGCAATCATTTTTGAAATGTCTTGCCCATAAGCAGTGTTCACAAATCGCCTTTGTGACAGGGGCCTCTGGTTTATTTGATATACATATAGATTTTATATACATGTTAGAAGTGTCTTTAAAGTAACTATGCAGTAGAACTTCCCAAGAAACAGCAATATATAGACTCACACAAAAGTAATCCCTCGCAAGCATCACTTTTGACCCACTGGCAGTGTGTGGCGGTGTCTGTATCTGCAGAGAAGCTGCCCTCTGCCTGTATATTCTTATTTTCTTCTTATTTTGGTTTGTTTGGGAAGTTTCTGGGTGTCAGCGTTTGGGTAGTGGTGTGTAGCTCCCAGACATGGTTTGGAATTCTGTAAAGGAGAAGCAGCCAGGTGACACTGCTGTCTTCATCTCCTCTGCTCTGTGGATGCGAGCTGCACCTCTGTTTGTCTGTTTGATCAAGGGTGAAGTTTAGATGCACACACAGCTGGGATGGCCAAGTGGACAGGATGAAGCATGTGCTTCAGGTGAATTCACACACAATGCAGCACCTTTCTGCAGGGTTGTGCAGAGGTGATGGTGTGTCAATTTGTATTTTAGAATCTTAACTGCCGTGAAACAGAAAATGTTTTATTTCCCTGATTCACTGCTTTGTTATCCCTTTCTCTTTCTTCATTCGTGATCACTGCTGCTCTCTCAGTCACATTCATACAGCCTATCGTCTCATTGAGCCGAGGAAGTTGAATGATGTGTTTACAAACAGTAAGCGACACATCCTGCATAGCATGCCTTTAAATGTGACAGTGTGAAGGTTGGACTGGACTAAAGGACAACAACTTACACTGGATGAATATTTAGTCCACTCTGCTGCCAACACGTGCTTTCTGTGATTTGTTATTTCTTTTTTCTTTTTATGGAGCATTAATCTGTATGAAAACACTTATTATGCTTTAAAGTAGTTATGAACAGAAGAGTTACATATGAAAATGTTTTGTATAAAAGGGAATAGTTAACACATTTTGTTAAGACTTAAGACACTGTAACTGACACTGTAAGACATAAATATGTACTGTATGGTTAATAAAGAATAACCAAAACCTACCTCAGACAGATGCATAGCAGAAGTCCTGAGTATTAATAATACTCGGGCCAGTTTATCCGAATGCACAAAATAAACCAAGCTGCCGTTGGTCATGTTATAATATGAATTGTTCCTGTTATGCAAATAAAGTTCCTGCAAGTTGTGTAAATGTGGGTGTTCAATTTCTGTTAGTAGAGACAGAAACATGAATCTTCTGTGCAAAGGTTTTAATGTTCAGGAAAAGCTTTGTTATACAAGTTAGATTTCTAATTATGTAAAAATTGAGTGATGTGAAAATCACTTGAGGTACATGGTTATACAGTAGATTTTTTTGAGAAACAGAATTATCTCAACTCAAGTCTGCAGAGTAATTTCAATAGCTTATAGCATCAACAGTGAGTCAACATCGTAATAAAGGCATTACACGTCCAACAAGAGAATTTCACACAGAACATATTAATAGAAAAATAGGGAATAAAACCACAAGAAAAAAATGGGGCATGTCTGAAGAAGTAGCCTGAATATAACTTTGTGGCATGTTTTCCTGCTTACCTCTTGTGTTCATCATCTTCAGTTTCCATATTAACATATGAAGCAGCTCATGAGGAAACATTTTTTGACGGTTACCTAGATTCATTCATCAGCGGACTTGTAACAGTAGACTCCATGCTTGTGCTGAGGAGGTGGGAAGCCAAAGCTGCGCACCCCGGGCTCAGAGGGACCACAGTTTCTCCGTGGCCTGGTGATGGGGTACCGAACACTTCCATCTGCCAGCCAGCCAGCGTCACAGCGGTCCAGGCCTGTGAGTTTCCAGGCAGCATAGAGCTGCCCGACTTTGGCGACCTCGGCTCCGTCCTCCTGACACGCCTGCTGAGCCTCAGTCAGATTCATCTTGTGAGAGGGCTGAAGATAGTAGACTTTACCTTTAACAAAACATGTTTATTGTGATATTTAGAGAACTTTCTGCAGGTTCTGACACATTTTAGTGTTTCAGACAGACATTAGAAAACATTGTGCTCACTGTCACACTGTCAGGGCCCACTGAGACACTCAAATAAAGCCCTCGTTAATATTATTGTTAACTCCTGTGCTCTCCCTGTTATTGGAAGTCAAACTCTGCTGTGAAAAACCCCTCCTTCAGGACCAGATTTTGAACCTGTGACATTGTTGGTCTCACACCACCTCACCTCTCAGCGAAGAGGAGAAGCAGAAGACATCATAGTGATGAAGCTGCAGGTGCCGCCTGCCGTAGCTCCGGACACCTGGGGCGAGGCCATGCCCCCCACAGGGCACTCTAGGCCGGGTGATGGGGTACTGGACTGTTCCGTCAGCCAGCCAGCCTGCACTGCACCAATTAAGACCCTCTTTCCAGGACTGGAAGAGCTGTGTGAAGGTGGCCAGCGTGGAGCCCTGCTCCTCACAGGCCTGCTGGGCTCCCAGAAAGCTGAGCTGATAATGACCACGAGGGTGCTGGTAGGGAAACACCACACCTGGGTGGATGAATTAATTAGACAGTGTTACACAAAGGTACGTGGGCTTCAGAGGTTACTCACTGGGACGCTTGAACACAGCAGGGACATTGTTAATGCTGTAAGTAACACCTGTGCTTTGTCTATGATGAGCCAAAATGTCTGCTGTGAAAAAAGCCTTATAATAATGAAATACAACTACGGCTAAAAGAGCCCCTACTTTTTACAAAATTTTATACTCAAGTACTTCTGCTTCTACTATTACTACACACACTCTCAGTGATAAGAATAATACTTCTAATAATGCAAGACATGAACACATCTCTATTCCAGAGAAGACTGGAATATGTTAGCTGCATGGATGGATTACTGAACAGGCCTAGTGTGCACAGGTCCAGCTCAGGGGCCCAAAGTGTGAGGACCCTCTTGGCCTTCACCTGCAAAATGTCACTTAAATTACCATGTACCAACCAGGAAGAGACACAGGAAGACCACAAAGGATTACTAAGGAAGTTCAAAGAGACACATCAAAAAACCACTAAAAGACATAATCAACTACAGAGAGACACAAAACAACCAAAAAAGATACAAAATTACCTAAAAGAGACTCAATAACACACAAAATGACCTCAAAGAGGCACAAAGGAGACATGAAATGACTGCAAATAGAAAACTTGTCTCAAAATTACGGACAAAAAAGGACCTTCAAGGGACTCAAAATAACTACAAAGAGGTGCAAAACAACCACAGAGAGACACAAAATGCACTCAAAGTGAAATAACTTCATCCATCCATCCATGAAATGTGAAAAGTTTGGACCCTTGTCTCTGAGAATAGAAGTCATGGTATCAGTGTAGGCGGACATATTGTACCTCGTAACTCCAGATAAACTGAAGAGCTCTTGTCCTCCACTCCGTCCACCACCTCACAGCGGTAACGGCCTGTGTCATTCAGCTGGAGGTCAGTCATCACAAGTGCAGCATCTCCTGGGAAATCCTGTCTGAGCTGCACACGACCACTGAACAACAGATAACAGACATACTGGCAACTAATAAAAGACAAACAAATTCATACAAACATCAAAAACATTGTATATAATCCGTTACAACCTGAAGGCCCCAAAACTGTGACAGCGAGAGCCCAAAGCCACCAGCACGTCTGTCTCATGTCCCCCAGCAGCAGGCAGCCAGGACCACTTAACCCGCACATCTCTTTGCGAGCTCAGCTCAGGCTCATACCAAAACCTGCATGGCATGGTGGCACTGCCCCCTCTGACTGCAGATACTGAGGGCTGAGCAGAGTCCACATGGAGCTCCACACCACTGAAATGAACTGTAGAAAATACAAACCTTACATCAGTGACCTGAAGCCAGATAAAAACACCTGGGTTATATCGGACATTATTTTATTTATCATGTGCATACGTTCTTTGTTGCCATTTCCACTGAGGAAGTCATGGTAGAAGAAATTGTTCTGTGTTGTAGGGGCAGTCAGGGCCAAGCCCGAGAGCCTCAGCAACAGCAGCAGCAGAGTTTGTAGACAACACATCATCATCCTGGCTGTGAGGATGAATCCTGATCCTTAAATGCTCTCTGTGCAATCCCCAAAGCCTGTGGAGAGAAATCTGGTTGGCTCGTTAGTGCCTCAAAGCACAGTGGAGTAATTACTTTTGTATGACTGCATTATTTTTGCAAGAGTTTTCAATTAACACACAACCCTGTGAATTTGCACCTCTGGGAGTTGTAGCAGGGCATGGCCGGTAGAGGGCAGCATGACACCATGTTAATGAGCTCTGTCTATTGAACAGGACTTTGATAATTTGGACAACTTTGGTGCGCTTTTAAGACAGTGAAATACAGGTACAGATTTATAGGTTATAGATTGTATTTAGGCTGCAGCCATTTCAGTAAATGGTATATTTAGTATCTTTAGCATATTGTATACGTGCCCGTAACAATGGATAAATATCTTTTTTTAGTTTGTCATGCAAACAATTATGCCTGGCCCATGGGCAAGCCAGAACTAGAATCCAACGTAGGCCTAGCAAAGCCACAAACGCATCCTAAATAACTAGATCATCATTGTGTAAGAAAGCTGGATCACTCACAGAGACATTTACTGTGCAGCACTGAAACATCAAGATATATTCGAGCCCAATTAAACATGTATCTTGCCTTCCTTTCTAGGCTTTTGCCACAAAATTATTCCAGCGTTTGCTAATCTGAGCACCACAATATAGCCGAGCCATTTCATGACACATGAATCCTCTTAAATCATATTTTGTACAGTATCAAACAACATGGGGCTCATTATCCACTTCACCAAAATCACACACATCACACACTTTGCTCCAGTATGTCGAATTACCCAGCCTCAAGAAAAATATGACAGTTGTTGATTAAATTTAAGGAACATATCTCACTTTGACGCCAGGTGAGAACAAAAAAAAGAAAACAAACAAAAAGTCAATTTAAAAATCGTACAGTGAATTCAGATGCTCTTTAGACTAATAAGGTGATTCGCGTTATAAAGATTACAGAACTTATTTGACGCCCAGTCATTTTTTAGATACGTATTTTCTTCACTTACCGTTAACACTTCGATATTCTGCCTGCGTAATTTAAAACCTCTCGAAGGGAAATCTTTGATGCTGCTGGAAAGAAATCATCTGTGTGTCCAGGAGCTCTGATGCACTCAGTGGGATCCTTGTCAAAGAATACGAAGCATCAATAACAAATTTGGTCTCCTCTTTGTCGATAATCAGTCAGGTGCAGCTCTATGGTCACAGTTAATAACTTTTCACTTAAGAGTAGCAGAGCTGCTGCTGTCAGGCTACCTGCAACCATGCAGCCAGTGAGTGAAGGGAGACGGAGGTGCCAAGTAGAGGAGTTCCCACTTCAGTTTATCAGTAATGTACATTTATAGTTTAAGTCGACCAATGCAAATTAAAAATAAAAAACTTCTGGTGTAGCTTTGTTTGATTGTATTATTTTTTTTTTTTTTTAATTTTTCTTTCAATGTTAATTTTACCAGTTTCCCAGATTGGTTTTTTGCAAAATTACCAAAAATTCACAGATTTAAAAGACAAATTATTTAACTGAAAAGTTGAATCTCAAACTCAACACCATGTTATTTATTCTACCAACCATTGATTTTTTAAAAAAAAAAACAACAACTTTATTTTAGGGTTTTCAATATCAAACAAAGGCTCGGAACATCATTTTAACAATTCAGTCACAAATATCTTCACAGGTAGAAAAACAGAAAATAAGTCATAGGACTTCAACATTACTATTAAAATAAAATACATATACACAATGATAGAAGGTACACTGCTACTCAGTTACCCTAAATTGTCACAGCCCAACATTTGATAGGATTTTGCTTCAGGGACCTTAGTCTGAAAAGATTATGATTGTTAGATATGATTAAGACTTACATCTTAATAGTATAAATATTATTTTATCAAATGATGTTATACACAGAAAAGCTGCTGTCTCTACACTGAAATCACAGCACGTTGTCCACCACTGAGCTCTAATGTTCATTACAGGAGATTCTTACAGCACCCATCACTGCCACCTTTACTGAAAGGTTGGCAGGCCACATTTGGCTGTGAGGCGGGAACAGCATTGGTATTTGTTCATTTATAAAGCTCAGACCTCACATAATCTTGGTACTCGCTCACAGAACAGGCTTCACATTCCCTTCATCAGAAGTGAACTAGGAAGAATGTCATTCTCTTACAGTGCTCCTTATACATGGGATAATCTGCAAAAGACCTTGAACTTAGACACTCTGCCACTCTTATGGCTCTTTGAATGACTTATTTCTGATCTTGGACCAATATCTTGGGAGAAAACTTTGCCTCCCTCCTTAACTCTCAGAAAGCAGATGTTTGTTGCAGAGCATCCGCACTCTATCACTCCATCACTCTATCACTCCATCACTCCATCACTCCAGCTGGTAGATGTGTTTTCCTGTGAGCACTGTAATCTTTTACAATGCTCTGGTAAAACATACATAAAACACACATCCACATACAAAATGCACAGACACACACAGTGAGGACAGACGTGTTAGAGACACTCCATAGTCCACTGTATTCATCTCATAGACATGAAGGCAGTCGCCAGGGGCCAAACATACCAGGACGGTGAGCTTAGCAGGGAGATGAGTATCTAAAAAGGTGTAATTACTCTTGTAAACAGCAGGCCTGGAAGTCCAGCATGGAGAAGACTCACAACATCTCGGTGTGGGTGGGGCAGTTTGTTCTTCATGTAAGAAAGCAGAAGATAACTTACAGCAGGTTCTTCTTCAAAACATTTGAGTTTAATTCTCTTTTATTCAGAGAGCTATAAGTTAAATATACAGATCCTTCCTTTGATGTTAGCTTGTGGCAGCAATATGCTCCTGAAGAAGATCTACTTTTTGGACCAGTGTGTTCATGCAGAAACCAAACACCAGCAGCTACAGGGACAGTGTCTGATCAGATAAGACTATTGTGGGATATAGACTGTTATCAGCTCATAGTAAAGCACAACAAAGACATGTTTTCTATCTCTTAACTGGTAAGAAACACACACAAAGATTTCTTTTTTAACATTTAATAAATGATCTCAGTTCAAGACCAACAATGAATAATGATAATAAAAAAAAATGTAAAACAATGCTTATTTTCTACACATCTTTCTTTTCACATTTGTTGTAAAAAGGATTAAATTACAATTAAATTAATTGTAAGGATGACGTGGAAGAAACTGCTAAAATGTGTAAACATCCAATGTCACATGAATCTCTTCGTGCAATAAGCTCTACAGTTTGTAAGTCCATCATTTAACAGATCAGTGTGCTGCAGTTTAAAGCTACTTATTATCTCTTCCAGGATAGTTTGAGATGTCAAAATATGATAAATATTGCGCAGGCCCTGCGTCGTAATGCTAGTTTGTGCTCCAGTAACAGTTGGGTGTTTGTCATCTGTCGTCTGCAGACTGTTAAAACCACAAAAAATAGCAGGGCTGTTGACCTGTGTGGGATTGCAAAGAAAGGACTGAAAAAGTTGTATACCTGCAATTTAGCTTGAGCACAACTGGAGGAGGCGAAGAGCACTGTTATCAAGTGTCCAGACTTTAATTTGAATTCTTAGACGGAGCAAATATGGACTATAATACGGGCTAAAAGCAAATCTAAACAACTTTTGTTTATATCCGAAGCTATTAAAATTCAAATCATTGATACTTCATAGAAGATTCTTTATGAGCAGTGTAAAACAATGTTATTAACATAAACATAAAAAGTCAGAAAGTGCTACAAGTGTTACAGTCCAAGCAGCCGACAGGATCTTCATCCAGAGGAACAAACAGATGTGCAGAACAGATGATTCTGTTCCAGATCCGTTGCTCTGCTGCGGTTTGGGGAGATGGAGCGATCAGATGAGGATGGAGCACTGTTAGATGAGTGAGTGATGAGTTTATTAGTCATCGCAGCCCAGCAGCTCCATGCGTAGAGTGATGCGCTCGTGCCATTCCCAGGGGACGACTCGGACGTATCGGGCGTAGAATGGAGGCTCGAATACATTCTTCTTGTGGGTGTTGTTGTCCACGTTGCCTTGGAAAAGCTGTAAATAAATGTTAAAGTTGTGTTAATTATTTCTTGAGCAGAAGCTGCTGTGTATAAACACGTTCAAAGGTGATACAGGTAATTGGTAAATACATTCGCCACGTGTTACTGACCAGTTGTCATCAGGGGCTTCTGACAACCTTACAACTCAGATCCTAACAGCCCCACCCAGATGCTCAGAGCATAAAGACAAAGCCTGGCTAACATGCATTATGTCAAGACACCACGTGAGCCCTGTGCTCAGTAAAAACATCACAGTTTGTTTTCCAGTTTTATTGGATCATCTGAGTGCAGCCAGACATGTCCAAGTGCTCTCAGAGAAAGAGGCTGTGATGAGGAAAACGGGTCTTTCAGGAAGAGACATAAAATATGTGTCAGTCATGAAGAGAAAGAGAACAGGAAGGGAAGCTGGCATTTTAAACTTCTTTTTCAAAAACTTTAGGCTTTGTGTGTTGCTTTTTAAAGAGTGGGGTGATGTAAAACACTTCAGAAAAAAGTATTAAGTTATTGTAAACTACTGCAAAAGTTTAGAGAGTAAATTCAGGAAAAAAGGTGATCCATTTTCTGAGTCAGATCTTAATAGTTTCTTTCTCTCCTGTGCTGATGAGGGCGGCAGCGGCAGCGGCAGCGGCTCAGTTTTAGGGTGGCAGTAGCTCAAACCATAGGGACTTGAGATGGGGTTGCTGGTTCAAGTCCCACAGGTTGGAAAAAGGCAATTTAACAAACAATTCCAACAATTTACATCAGATTTGGAAAATGGATTTTTTTCTCTCACTTGCCTCACAGGGTTTCTGTATTATTCCACACTCTAAGGGCCTTTTTAAAAGCTCTGCATTTAATTGAGACTCATTTACTCAGACATATACAGTATACTGTGTTAGAGAATGTATTCACACAAGTCTGACCTTATCATTGCCAGTGTTCTCCTCCTTCACCATACTCCACGTCTCTCCATCGTTACTGTAAGCAACTTTAAACACGGACACAAACTGCACCACCCCGAAGTCCTTGGCCCCCTGAGTGATGATGCCTGTGAGGCGCTTTGTCTTCTCGAGATCAACCTGGTGAAGAAACAAAGAGTCACACTGTTAAACACAGCTTTCTACAACAGACATATTTACCAATAAAAACATGTTACAGCTGAGGGTGGCCCCTCACCTGGATCCACTCTGAGCGGTTGCTGTGTGCAGGAGACCAGGCGTTTGTCTTTCCCTGCTTATCCAGTCGGGCGAACTGAGGGTGCCACGTGAAGGTATCGATGCCCCACGTGCGGAAAGAGCTGGAGGCTGAAAGCTGCCCATCTGAGATGAGGCGAGACTTCATTCCCAGAGGCTCTGAGCAACCTGCCGTGTTTGAATAAACTGTGAATCGAAAGCAGACAGGAGGACGGAGGGAGGGGAGACCAAAGCGACAGAAAGGGAAGAGGAAAGAAGAGAAGAATACACCCAAAGAAATTAACTTCACCCATCATCCATTTAAAGATCATTAGAAATATTTGAAAGGCTGATTTAAAAGATTTTCACACCCATGAATGACCAAGAGGAAGGAACAGAAAGAGGCACACAGAGCAGAAGAATGCATGCAATAAAGTGTATAAAGCTAAATATGCAGTGTGTGTAAACATTCACCATGTTTCTGTGCAAACATTTTGGCTATTATGTTCAAAGAAGACAAAGGAAAAACACCCACAAATTTGTGTTTCTGTCTTTGCATGATTGCTATAAATCACTGCTTTTATTGCTGCACGTTGAGGTCTAACCACAGAATGCTGTTTATGCTATGCATTTTCTATCTAACCACGGCTGGATGGAGGCCATGTTATGCAGTTGAAATAAACCCGGTAACCACAGCAAGAAGAAATCAACACAGTAAAACAGGAGACAGAAGGAAAGCTAAACAAAAGACTTTCCTCACTTTTCCCCGCTTCAGGAATTTGTACATATTTATACAATTTTTTCTGCCTGAGTTCACAGAGGCTATGGCTTGCTTGACTTGAACTGACTGTAGGTCATTCATCCTTTTGTATTGACTTTAAATTTGTTTTTCTATCCACCATCATTATCTGGCAAGCTTCTGAGCTTGCTGTGTGCGTTAAAATTTGTCTTTTCTGTGTGTTTACCATTGAGTTCACAGCCCACCAGCTCCATGCGCAGTGT